TTTGGAAACATTTTTGGGATTATTTACTCAAATATACACAATAATATATTTTTTAACGGTTATCAGCGTTTTTATCGATGTTTTATGTAGTTGTTCGTCATATAGTTTATCTGCATTTTCATCGGTGTTTTCAAACTTTTTGGTCTGAAATATAATATACATATTGAAGTTACTGAAGCAAAGTTATACTTAAAGAGTATAATCATAATAAAAATTGATTATTGGATATCTAATAAAAGCGATATTTTTGATAGACATAATGCCACATAAGAGATACTATTAAAAATATTAAACACTTGAAAAAATGGAAACATGACGCGAATGCATAAATACATTCGTAGCAATATTCGACATATTATGATAATGTTCAAAGCGCAATTATTATAACGTGATTCTAATTGTGGGTGAATTTGGGAAGGACTTACATGAAAAAAATATAAATTTCATCGAAATTTCAATATCTTATATCAGAATATGTTTGTTATTTGAGCAACATTCGCGCACGAGTGCTAATACTGTCGTGTTTGCGGATTAAAATGAATCATTTTCATAACTGTACATTTCCACCCGTGCATTTCGTTTCTCCTCGCGTTTCGTGTGCATGAAAAGTGGAAGTTCACGTCTTTGAAGACGAAGAAAGAAAGTAACCAAATCAATCCCAACTGAGGAAGAAAAGCAAATAGCTAGCTGCATCCGTTCGATGATATGAACATTCGATAATTAATCATTCCTATTTTGGGCGATTAGTGAGACGTAGCGTGCACGCGATAAGAAGTGTAGCCTTCATCGTCTGAGTGAGTTGCGAATTTTGCTTCGCGTATTCGTTTAACGAGCTCTTTACCTCAGGACGACAAAAAGAAAGGAGCAGGACGAGTTTTCACGCGCTACACCGTTTGCGATAAATCTACATCCATGAACATTTTAATGTTTTAAATATTTAACTATTTAAATATTTCTCTTGAAAACAAAATAGAAAATGCTTTAGAACTTTAATAATATTTCTCTGTCATTTGACGGGTTCTTTAATTTGAGAAAACATTCTGCGATGCATTTCTCTGAAACAAAAATATCTTTCACGAAAGAAAGAAGTGAGCTTTACTGACTAAATAGTGCATATTAGGCTTATACCATTAAAAGATCCACAATAATGTGCAATGATATTGACACACTTATCTGCCAAATTATTGATGGTCATACGTCAATAAAAACAAAAACATTTTATATAATTCATTAGAGTTAAAGATAAGAATAAATTAAAAAATTAAATAAGTTAAAAGCAGAGAGTTTAAGGTATTTAAAATGTTAAGCATATAAAAGCGTTTTACATTTGTCGTACAATTGCTTTAAGAAATTATTTACAAAGTTAAACGTATGTATATATTACAACAATTTATATTTTATGAACAGGCCGATAAGCGCGGAAGATGATATAATCTTTGTATCTGCTACACTTATTTGATTTAGTTAAGCCGCGATACGCGATAGCTTCACATATGGTGTCGAGAAATGGCTGCTAACGTTTCCGATGGGGGGATGATGGAACGCGCGCGTTTATAGTTCTCGAGAACACATTACATCGACGAATGACACCTGTCTCTTTATGACCTCGTCGCTCATCGATCAGCCCATCGATGTTGAGTCCCACAGCGATAAGCAATAGCAAACTGCTGGGCAGCGAAACGTCGTCCCTAAGAGTGACATTGCAGGATGGTTATCTGGAGTACTCGGAACGGAGCTTGAATATTCATTATTCGCGTTTCTTTCGTTCGATGCTCATCGATCACGGTGCTCGAACGGCGTTGTCGCAAACGAAGAGCAATGTAAATGATCGAGACAGAAGGTGGCCGACGGAGTATAAGGAATGCCCGTGGTCCACACTCCCCTCCGCATATCTCGAACAATACGTACGTGCAACAATAGCCATTAATTACGGGAAGAAACGCGGTGCAGCTTAGCAATCATATCGTGTCCGTTTCATAAATAGTTCTGTACTGCTGAATTATCATCTCATATATACAGTTCGAAGAAAAATTGATTAGCTTTATTAACGTATCCGAGACGCATATTAATAACACCCTTCAATTTTTCAATTTTTCTGTCAGGGCTTTTGAATATGTCGTTTGTATATGCTCGTCTACAAAATGTCCTGAGTATCAATATCACAAGAACGCACTGCGCATGCTAATGTCACGTCGAATCACCCTCAAATTTCCCGACGGCTTTTAATCGACAGATCGCATTTTAAGTGTTATGATTGCGTCGATGGATTTAAATCAATGATACGATTCGACGCATCGCATCAGCCGCGCATCGTTGAGAAATATATATCCTCCGCGCGAGGTGCACGCGAGTTCGGCCGCGTGTGGCACGATGATACGGAGAGAGAAAGAAAGAGAGAGAGAGAGAGAAAGAGAGAGAGAGAGAGAGAGAGAGAAAGAGAGAGAAAAGGTGCACACACACACTGGTATCCTTGGACAGGTTTACAAGATTTTTTAGCCTGAGGCACGCATCTGGGCAACCCGATCGCACGACTCGCAAGGTAGACGAACATCGAATCATTGCACTCAGACTAAATAGTAACTAAATATTCTACACGTCTATATATATATACGTGCTTTGCGAGTATTAAGTCATTTAATACGAACGAAACATATTATTTTGCAACGTGGAAATGTTATGTGTGTTAAAAGGATCTTTACGGACTAATCGGGAAGCTAACATAAAATGATGAATATTTGAACCGATAATTATTATATATGATTTTTGACTTGAACATCAATCTTATATTAATAATATTATACTGCATTTTATTGCATAGAATTGAAGCTGAAGGAGTTTCGTATTACCACAATCGGTATTGTGTCGTAAATATAGCACTTGAGGCTGGATCGCACAATATTTATTCTACTTACTCTCGTTTACCGAGGTATGTGTGTGCATGTGTGTGTGTGTGTGTGTGTAATTACGACAATAAACAGTTCGTGACAAAAGACGAAGAGAGGCAAAATACGGGTGATGAAATCACTGTGCAATAATATTGACTGATACAGACGCCAGTTTGTTCTTTTACCCGGTGTTTATAATGCCACCAGCACTTTTTGCTACGCCTGGCGTGAACGCCCGCAAGGTTCTCCAACGGGGCAATCATTGATTCATGCTGGGAAGCGGTGGAATGATCTCGTGATTGTCAGGAGGTGATAAAAGTTACGCAGCATCCTGATATCCTCTTAATAGCCGTTTCGAGAAGCCGCGAGCGGGATTGTAAGGTGAGAATGAGAATAGCTGAGATGCTGCTTGTTCCAAGAAAATGCTGCATCTATCTTTTGCAGATAAATTTCGCTCGCGTATTAGGATAATTGCCATATTATAAAATGTCAACGCGCAAGTGTACAAATTGATTGATAAAAATGTTTGATTAATAATATAAATTGCTTATTTCTTTCCCCGTTTTAATAAACAATATTAATTAAATTATTATGAATAATAATATAAAAAATACAATAGTTTAATTTTTATAAACGCGTGGATAGTAAAATGAAATGAGTCCTCTTAATGTTGTAATAAGTAATTTGTTATTAATTAATTTTTTTTATAGAAGTAAGTTTGAATTATTTAAATACATAAGTAATAAATTTTGAAATCATAAAAATTCTGAATTTCCTTGCTAAACTCATTAATTCGTCGTACTAGTTATTGCAATTGGAAAATGAAATTTTTATTATTATCATAAAGATTAGTTCTATATGTAGAAAATTTTAGTTAGATATTGTTGTGCAGAAAATTTTGCGAAAGCCAAGTTTTACGACCGCGTACGATTAATCGAGTTAATTGGCACCTTGCACTTGACTTCGAGTGCCCGGTAACCATTTGTCTGGATACTTTTAATCCACATGCGTTGAGAGCCAGTCGCTTGCGCGCAAAGGAGTGCACGGACAATCCCAATAATTGTACGCGACAGAGGAACGCGGTACGTGCGAGATAATTAATCGGTCGATTAATTAAACGGCCCGCGGCTCGTCTTTGAACGGCGACGGTGCGTCCGCGGCCTTATTCCGTCGACCGTCGTGCTCGATCGTACATCATCGCACGGACGTCGGTGCGTCGCTCATTGCTCGTAAATATAGTAATTCAGCGACACACGTTAGCGGCACCCGTATATTTACGCGTCGCGGTTCATTCACTTCCATTTACGTGCCTTCCGTGATGCGACGAGCAATCTCTCGCGCCTACGTACGTACTCAGCGGCCTGAGCCTGAATTATTCGATCCCCGCGGACATACGCGCGAGTATCGCGGATCATCTATTTCTCCGGACGGATCTTGCCTCCGCATATCAGCGCTTTCGTTAATCTTTGATAAAAGGAATAGCAAAATAGCGTTCTTGATTGAAGCGATCTATATCGCTTTGATTAAAATTTATAAATCCATCCTTCTTAAACACGAGTTTATCAATTTAAATATACATAAATGATATTTTACATTTTACTTTTATTATATTTTTTATTCTTTAATTTTACTATAACACGTAAAGTGTCTACAGTATAAATAAACACGTGATCCCTTTTAAATAAAGAGTATCTTTTGTTTGCCCAATCTGTATCGATTTAATCTTGATATGTAAATACCATTTATGTATTACGTATATGTATATATGTTTTCATATCTAGATAATAGCCATTTTCTGTATTTGCTTTATAAACTTTTTTTTATTCATAACAGAATGTTCTCAATCTACAATGCACTTTTTATTACCTCTATATTTTTCTAAAATATAATTTAAACAGTGCAAAACTCTTGTGATGAATTTATGCTGCCTAGAATTAATGATATAGAGATGATTCTATCATAGAATTTGAAGTTTGGACGATTTCTGGACCTGTCCAGATTCCGACGGTGTACTTGTTATAAAAGATTGAATATCTTATCACATTTCTATAAATTTTCAATCCCGTGTTCCAAATCGGGAGTTTATCTGTCTAGTTTATCGCCCCGAATACTCACCCCGAATGATGTCTGGTGTACGTGGGGACGGTCGTGCTAATCGGTGGAAAGCCCTGCGTGCCCATCTCTCTTGGTTGATGCCGATGATTGCCGTGATAACCCGCGTACGCGATCGCCCTGGTACCTGCACCGTTCTCCGCCATCGCCACAGCACCATTGAACTTTTGTTCCAGCATCCGTTGCTCCGTGTGCCTCGATGCCGAATTTATCTGCTGCGGTGATCTCGTCGTGGAAACCTGCGGCCACGGCGGCGTCCACGGACTTCTCGTGGTGGTGGTGGTGGTGGTGGTGGTGATCGTCCCTCGGACGGTGCGTTCGTCATCGAAGCGATCGTGCCTAATAGCGTGGGGTAGTCGGTCGCGATACCAAACTGGCAAAACTATTCTGTGGCTGCGTTGCAAGGGCACTCGATGGTGATCCTCCAACGACAACGACGACGACGAAACGGAGCTCGTCGTGGCCGCGACAAGCAGGCTCGCCGCCAGCAGTATCTTCAGGGTCATCGTTCAGCTTTTGAAAAACTTATATGACGACTGTACGCGATGGTCCTGACGACGACTGGTATCGGACGAGCCGTCACATCCTCAACGGCTGCGGGTGGACGCGTCAAGTTCGCGACAGGCCGCTCCGACGGATATCCGGTCACGGTGAGAGATCCTCCACGGGCAGCTGAGCGCACTACTGAGAGCACTACCGAACGAGACACACGGAGCGGGGCCCACGTGCTTCAGCTGCACCAACCCCACCATGAATCTCTTTTTCTCCATCTCGTTCCTTCTCTCCCTACGTGTTTCCCAGCTCTTTTCCCCCTTTGCCGCGCATTTACTCACCGCATTCGCCTGCATGGCCCGGTCTGCCCGGATTCTCTTTTCTCCCTTTCTCCTTTCCATTCTCATGCTGCAGCGGCCGTCTGTTCTCCTGGTACCCCACCAGGTCCTTCGGTAACCACCTACGTATCCTTCCGCGACCGTCTATAACCGTGCGCACGAGGGATAGAGCCTCTCTCGCGGAGTTGCTATCTTTACGGGCGATAACGCTATTCCGAACAAAGCTCTCGCGCCGGCTGCGCGAAGAAACGGCGGTTCAAAAACAGATATGGGTCGTATGTGACTCACACGCGGCTTGCAAATTCCACCACTGCCGGAACAAAGTTTCAGATGATTAACGGGGGGTGAAGGAAACGCAAGAATGCGAGCCTTTCAGTCGCACGACACATCTCTTTGGAAGACGAGGAAAGATATCGGTTGTAGTTCCATGTTACTTTTAACAATCTTGTACTTAAATTGATAATTATAAAAAATTCTATAATAAAAACGTACTTAAGACACGGATATTAATTAATAGTAAATAATGTTAATATCATGAATCCTTGAAATATTAATTTTGTAATAAAGTTACAAACAATTTTTTGTAACTTTAATAAATAAAGTTTTTATTTTATAATATAAAACTACATAGAAGACCGTAGCAGAAAAATGTTATACAAAAGACAAAGCGCAAAAGCAGGCTAATAAACCCAAAATAAAATATTTTATCAAGACAAACTATGAACTGCACGATAAGGTACGAGCAAAAACTACTTTTGAGATTATATTGATTAATAACATGATAAACGACACATGCGAGTAATTCGCAGATAATTAACTGCAATGTGGTATGTAATTAGTCATGATCAGAAACCGCAATACCGTTGATATAATAATCAATTGCTTATGCATAATTTATGTTACCATGACTTTATGTTATAGCTTCATTTGTAGTAGAAAGCAAACCGCAGGACTATAAAACGAAAGAATAAACATTAGCAAACTGATATTTGACATATGCATAGAGATAACATAATAAATATTAATACATATGTAAAAGCATATCCGTTAGAAAAGATATCTTTGCACGCATTTTTATTTTCTCAATAACTAACTACTGTACAACACATTTCTAAAAATGCTTAGAACTATAGAATTCTTGACTTTTTTTGCGATATTCTGAATTAAAAGTCAATTTTTATTTTTTTATTCTAAATAGAAAATTATATGCATTTAAAATTATAATAAATTAATTATATATATTTAAAATTATATATTTAATATTATAATTATTATATTATATTTAAAATTATATATAAAAATAGAGCTATAGAGTTTCAAACGAATAATGAATAAGTTAACTTCTTTCTCTTCTTACTAATCATCAGTTGTATACTGAAGAATAGATTTGAGAAGATTACATTGGAACACTCAGTTCTTTTGAAACACTTGACTTGAATCAGCACTGTCAGGGGAATTGCTCCACACTGGCAACGGTCGATTCTGCAATAATACTGTAAAGCTGGAAGGTACGCGCATTAGAAGTCTCTGTGTGCCACGCTTGAATCACTTCGGTCACGATGTTACTTGAGACCAAGGTCAGTAGTGCAGTAACTGCAACCGCGGTAGGGTCTCTTTGTTACTTTTTTGCTCGTTTCCTTACCGAGGACGGGCCAAAAGGAGTGGAATAATTGCACGGATCATCGTCACATTATTGCCCATTAGAAGAGCATGAAGCACAAAACATAAAAGCATATCGCGACCGGCAGGAGATAAATCAATGTAGCAGAATAACATACCGTAACGCGCTCGTTCTCACGAACATGATTTACCCTTCTTATCCATACTCACGATTTCTTCAATAACTCCGGTATATAAAATTAAAGCGAGAAGGTCTCCCATATGGTTTTCTTATTACGTTGAATATTAAGTGAGAAATATGTTTTAAATTTGCATTTACAAAAATGTAAATTTTGGAAGAGAGCGAAAAAGAAAATTAGAAAATCGCGTAAATAAATCGCGATTGTGCGTTCCTCGATTTCTTTGCTGTTACATTTTCTATTTAGGAGTCAGATAAATGTGCTGATTTAAATACGAAGGACATCGATAAAGCCAAAGTAATGTTTCATTTCAGACAGTGTCGGTGAACTCGAATGAAATGTTTATGATTAATGCTGCCGACACTGCATAGGAATGTTAATCGAGCTCGCGGGGCGATTGCAAAAGTATCTTTCTTTTCACTCGTACGCTGTTCTTTTCTCGGTGCGTATACGATAAGCCTCGTTATCGAGATATCGTTGGACGTTCTCTCATTAATTATCGTTCGCCCGCCTTTATTCTGCCGATAATTTGTTCGGCAGTCCAACCGGTTCGTCCGCACAATCAATTGCGGGCTCATCGAAATGCGCGTAAGTAATCACGACGTTGGTGAACGATTAGTTATTTCCATAATTTGCTTTAGGCTGCGCTCCAAGTTACGACTGAATCCCCATGTGATCATTATCTAAAAATTAGTTGGAATTTTCTCACAAATATCAATTTCAAATTAATTTTTGAAATTGCTACTTGCGATAATTAATATTTACCTAATTAATAAGGTTTTTCATTATATAAAAGATCTTGAAGGGATATGCATTATTGAAAATTGTTTATCCGGCTTTCTGTTGTTTTCGTCTTTGCGACTGGATTATTAGGTATGTTCATAAGAAAAGCACTCGGCTGGAATGAATTATAAGCACGCGCATCTTAGCAATTTCTTCCATAAAGCACAGAAAATTCCACTTTGTAGAGAGAAATAATATTATGGTAAATCGCTAAAATCATAACAACATGATAAATCGTGATCTTGTCACGGAAGAAAACTCAGAAACATATCCGAGAGTTAACTACATGATAATAAGTTGACGTGACAGTAAATTCACCTTAATCATATAATAATAAAAAATTAAATCATATGACAATAGATTGTTGTTTGTGCTTTATGCGCTCTGTTATATCACAAAAAAATGAGAAATTGAATTGCTTTATGTAAGTTTGCAATGTATTTCCATTTCAGTCTGACGGACTCTATCGATAGCAAGAATGTAAGCCTAAAAAATTGTAATAATAATTTAATAAAAATAGAATTCGATCTAAATTTGATTTATTTCCTTCCTTCCTGATGAAAAATCAATAACTAAATTACAGTTTGTTTTCTGTAGTTGTTATTCATAGGATCGATTTATGGAATCAATTTTCTATAAATCTCCTTTCCATCATGATTAGTCTGTAATTAATTTATACCACCAGTTACATTCACTGCAATCTCCGAATGTAAATTCTACAAGGAACAACTTTGCGAATCATAATTTTTACATCTCGAGGCACGCACAATGATAGATGATATTGTTAGTAACAAAAGTATAGCTTCCGTCGTGGAAGCAAACTATCGAAAGAGTTAATCAAAGTGATTATTTATTTATTGAAATAAATTATGCTCTATTTTCGTATACAAATAAAACGTAATTAGTTTTCAATATACATCACATTGACATTATAGTTTTATTATTCAACGATATTTGTGTGCAGTTTACTGTATTCTATGCATTCCATAATTGCGAAAGAACAAAACGCAAGTTAATTAACTATGCTCTAAGGTGCACAAATACAATACTCGCACGTTTCAATACTGTAGGCTATTTGTCGAAGCAGCATCGATCATTTTCCTGACATATGATATTACGACACAATGTAATGTTTCAATACGCACATACGCATATACATACATACATACGATTTCTATCCTCTTTAATTTCTGTACACCCGATACCCGACGCAAACATGGACATCAAATCCAGGTCACGTATCCAGGTTTTGACCTACTGACACGATCCAGTGACGTCACGGGAGAGCAGGAGGACGGCAAAAGGGTGGCAAGGCTGGAGTAGGTGGAGCTTCAGTTTGACGAAGGAACTTTCCTCGGTACGCTCAAGTGATAGGGATAATGCAGAAACAAAAGATACGAATGTTTACTGTAAACGGTGTAAGGCAAGAAAATTTTGACTCAATATGTTTCAATTATTTAGTCCCATTGTAAAATAAGCAAAAATAACATAAAATTCCTTAGCGTCATTTTTAAATAATAATATACTTTCATTTTTAAACTTATATCTTAAAATTATACATATAAGATCTATAAAAAAAGTTTCTGAGGAACAAAAAGAAACATAGAATTGATATCAGTCCGAGTGATTTGTAAATGTTAATTAATTATGCAATAAAATATTTTATAATCTTTGAAGAAATTGCACAAGACACTGTTATAATTTTTATTCACATAAAATTTTTTTATGTTTTGCAGAACGGATGAAATGGATTTGAAACGGATATGATTGAAAGAAGTAGTTAATTAAAAAATCTATTAAGCGTTTACTTTGTCTAATATAATATAATTTTTGTTCATAAAATATCTATATCTAGTACTTTTTTGCCGTTTAACGTGATTAAATTATTCTGGAAAAAGATACTGATGCGAAAAGATAAAAGATCCTACATCATCGGAATTTTGTCTTTAAAAGATTCTATCCAGAAGATCCTATGCAGAAATAGGATATGGGTTTATGCCACATTATTGATATGAGTTATTACGTATTAATCGTAAAACGTTTGATTCTTAAATGAAATTTCGCTATATTCCGCTCGTGTCACGGTCGATTAATCGCCGCGCTTGCTAACCAACGTCAGACGATCGTCCAAGAGCGGCGCCATCCTTTGTCTAAATTCTCGCGCTCTCCCTCTTCGCTTCATATGTTATTTTACAACTTTTTGTAGCCTGTTTACTTGTATTTTTGATAGAATTTTTCCGCGTAAGTAAAACCACCGAGTCCGCCGCGATCTCTTCCCCAAGAGGACCGACGGGAGACTTCAGAATCGAAAGATGTGATAGATGATCGCGCGGTCGGACGGAAAGTCTCCATCGTCAAGAGCCGTCGGAGTCGATGACAGTTTCCTGGTTAAGCTCACCGTCGTTCAGGCATTCACATTCGTTTTGATAACTGGCGACGACCCCGTCTGCGCCGTCAGACTGTCGTCACGACACGCAGAACGAATGTGAGAGTCACTGCATTAGCAGTGAATGCGAATTTTTGGGGTGGAGATCGAAGAGATATATCAGGTGGAAGACTAATTGTAGACATCGAAGTATGTATATTAACTATATTATTAATACAGAGTATATATTTACATTCGTAATTTAGTTATAAATAGTATATAAATATATATATATATATAATTAAGAAATTCTTAATTTGATTATAATTAAGAATTTTCCATTATACAAGAAATCTTCTTTTATTCTTGTATATATGTATTTATTACTCTTTGTCATTTTAAAGTATAAACTTTATCCCATTATAACTACTTGCTTAAGACTGTTAGTTTCTTTTCGTTTGTATTCTTTTAATTATTAGAGAGAAGCAAGTTTATTTTTTCTACAAATTGGTCTTCTTATTTTCCGAATTGTAAACACGTATTTAAAACTTTGAATTTATTTTCATAAAAATGAAAATTAGAAATAGATACATAAAGAGATCTTATTTCTTAATTAGTTTAATTTGTGAATTTATTATATAGATAATTAGAAGTTCATTTCTAAATTCTTTCTCCTATAATTATGTTTTAAGAGAAATCTGTAATTAAAGTCGGGCGAAAAATTTTGAGGCACGCTGTATATACTATGCTCAATCAAATTGTACATGTTACACCAGAAACATTTAGCAACAGATAAGCCGATTCACTACCACATGCGCGATTTAAACGCGGCATCACATGTCCTTCCGGTTCAATAAGCGCTTCCTCGAAATGTCTCTTCGTATAAACCACCTCCGCATAGTTTATTTAACAAACGATCTGCGAGACATCGTTATGTATTTGCGCTCGCGAAATATCGTATTTTCTGTTTTTGCGGAAACGCGTGGCTTGTAACGTCGTAGTGGGACATCTAAAATAAATTTCTTCGACAGCACTCGACTTCCCTCGCATGTTTTTCATGCATTGATTTTTTTCTGATGCATCGTAAATTTTTCTGCCGTGCAGCTTAGATGTGTAATATTACACGTCGACATACACCTATTCTATCTACCTTCTGCTAATTCTGTGCTCTTCCGCCCCAGTACTGATTGTGAAACGTGAAACGTTTCAGTACTGTTTGTTCTGTCGTCGAGAAATTGTTCCCACACACTTCGTATGTGTAAGGCTCGTATTTCATATTCGACAAGACCTGAATCCTTACTCTTGTGTATCTATTTAAGCCGCTACAGTCGGCAACGTGTTAAATTATTGATTTATATCGATTTACGTATTACCAGCTTAATGTTTCATTTCTCTCTCTCTCTCTCTCTCTCTCTCTCTCTCTCTTTCTCTCATTCTGGAATAAATATATGCCTGTCGATACTTACATTAATCGGTACTTACTTTGCTTCCTCGAGTGACATTAATCCGAATTTGTTCTTCATTTGTGTTCTTTTACTTGTACAATTGAATCCGTCAAATGTTGAAATGAAATGATACTTCGAAGATAATTGAAATAAAAAAAAAAAACGATTTAATTTTGCAAACCATTATCTTCGTGATTCTAGATTTCACTGCCAACCTCTACGAATCAGCGTTCGCGGCAATTCTATGTTTCGGATAGTCGACCCACCCCCTAATTTCAGGCAGAGCGCCAGCGAGTGGATCTATAAGGTCAGTCCTGACAGTAAAAACGTGCGGTCAATGTGAAATTTACCCCGGAGGTCTCTGCCAAATGGGTCACTCCGGTGGAAAGAAGAGAGAGAGAAAAAGAGAGAGA